TACAGCATAGCTGTGATTACCAATATGAATAGGAATGACTCTTGGCAGCTTCCATTATCTGAATCTAAAATGTATTCCTGATTACCACCAAACGGTGAGGATCTTGGAGTTCATCTCAAGTTCTGCTTGTGAATGCATGACTCATCTTTTGCCAGCGTCTAGCACAGAACAAAAGCACATGAACACCACATTAGAAACTAAAATGTATTTCTTAGGTAAAGGTTTTTACAGGTAAACTCCACCCCAAGATGATATTTCGGCTTTGCACATTTACTGACATGTTGACTGGTATAGTGAGCACACTGATGGGATACATATCAGTGTCAAGTACTTGGTCTGAGGCAGATTTGACAAGAGGACTTCCAATGCTGCTAAGTGCCAAACACCCAGAAGGTGAGAACAGGAAGTGCTAGGCTCAAAGAAGCATGGGTGACATTAGGTAGGTCTACTGGAACCTACTTGCAGTACAGTCAACCGGATAGCTGTCAGCTGGTCTGTTCAGGACAGATGGCAGGACCTCAGTTGCCCCTTGCAAGGTAGCAGGACCAGGGCAGTGACCTCAGGCAAGGTGGCACCCAAGGAAGAAGCAGGATCAGGCTGGCAGGAACTGACTGAAGAAGTGTAGTCAGGATGGCAGCCAAAGTCATACATAGGAAGGCAAGTCGGCAGCCAAAGTCATACACAGGAAGGCAAGTCGGCAGCCAAAGTCATACACAGGAAGGCAAGCCAGGGAGCAGGAAGGACCGTGGTCAAGTACAGAGTGAAGGTCATTCACAGAGATTCAGTGGAGCAAGCAGAAATGTAGTCAAGAGCAAGTCAGAATCATACACAGTAGAACAAGAGAAGCAGAGTCCTTAGAGCAAGCAAGGGTCAAAACCAAAAATCAGGCAGCAGGGAAGTCCAGACAAGCCAGGTTGAACAGGTATTCCAAGAAACACAGAAAACAAGGAGCAAGGAATACTGGTAGCTGAAGATTATCCAGAAAAGTCTACCTGCAGTCCCTGTCCTTATATGGGGCATTTGGAGCTAGTTCTGGCAACAGGTGTGCATGAACATGCACCATGTGAATGTTCGCGCGAGTTATTGTGCAAATGAGCACGGCCATGTAATGTATTGGCAGCTATGCCAAGTCTTTTCCTCAGCACATGTTCATTTTTATTCTGCTGACTCCTTTTCCACACATGCTCATGTTTGTTCTGAATAGCACCCTCACAATCAGTCTTGAAGCAAAAAAAGGAAGACTCCAGCAAAACCTTTTACAGTTTTAAGTAGAGTAGAGACAAATTATAAATTGCCAGGTTTATATTGTTTGTGCCTCTACTGGGAATTTTCTTTTTAATACTTTTTATTGCATACATTGGCATTAACAAAGAATAAACATGTTACATGTTGAGTTATCATCTTAAATTTTAGGTCCTCAAAAAGGGACCATTCAATGCAAACTAATGTAAGAAACAATAATAATAGTACCTAACAATTAGGTTACTGTCACCCACCACATACTATCAACCCTAATCACAACACATTACCACAGGTTGCAGGAAGGAAAATCTTTCAATTCCCCTGTCAACACAGTCCATGTTGATGGGGAAATCCCTCCCATGGAGCTATTGTGTTCTCCCAGCAGGAGAGGTGGCGCGCAGGGAGCCATCCCTGCCTGGAGAGCACAGTGAATATTGCTAGAGGCTATACATTGCTAGATATTTGACATGCTGGTTGTACCCAAGTCGATCAATGGGTTCAAATCTTGGCCAGTCCCTGCTTAACCTGCTGAGATTCAAACCTTCTATGGCCGGCCTCGGCCTGAAGTCTGTATTACTGTCCCACAGTGCCAGAGATTGAAACGGAGTTCCTGTATATTAGCATAAAGCTGTATATTTTTTATATTTATAGGGGCCGTATCTTCTCCACAGATTTTAAAACCTGTCTGCATCTTCTTCTGAAAAGATTCTCCATCACTTCTTGTTCTGTGTGTAACTAGTCACCTGGACTGGAAATGAGGCTAAATCTCCCCAGTAGGGAAAGCAATAGAAACCTAACAAAAGTTTTGAAGAAGAACTCCAGTATAGCCAAAAAAATCAGCACCCAGTAGTACAACCTCTTATACAAAACACTAAACAGTAAATTTGAAAACCCTTACCATTTAGGAGAAAAGTCTAATTGAGTTTTCATGACATCATCTCTGTAATTCAAAAGGAGGAGGTGTAACTGTCAAGGAGGAGGTGTAACAGCGGGGATTACATTATATCCTTTCCTCTCTCTCTGCAGTAAAAGGAAACTACAGTTCCCATCATCCACAGGGAATTGAAGTGAATGTGGGCTGTACACACAGGCCTGTACATGTTGAATGTATCAGAGTCTCAGTCTGCTCACCACTGCAAGTGTAGCTTAATTACATCACTGCTTCCTGGAGAAAGAACTACAGAAGGATGTGTCCAGACCAGTGACTGGGGAAATAGGAGCAATAGTAGCCACTGCCCTTACCAACAGGAAACCAAAGTGAATTAACGATTAAATATGAAAATTAATAGGCTGTTTCAGAGCAACTACTGAGTGAACCAGAAGATGGATGACATCAGTGAAGGTAGGAAATCAGTAACAAGGACATGTAAATAGGTGTTTACCTGGAGTTCTGCTTTAATGTTTCCCCACCTTCACTTAAAAAAAAAAAAAATTTGGATGGCTTTGGGCTTTCATATGTTAAATGCAATAGCCCTATATTATTTGTGCGAATAAACAAACTTTGAGCTACAAAGAAGTCAAACAAACCGATCTGTCAGGCTTAGGCAAATCTATCAGAGATTCAAACAAAATTACACAAATTAGATTCTATGGGTGAAAATGATGTTTTGATTATGCTGCATTTAGTTCTAAGACTGTACTAAGAGGTGGAATTATGCTTTAATTACACTTTATTTTCTTTAGTCACCATCCTCAGTATTTCAGCTGAAGGGACGTTTGAGCTGGAGGGAGCTGATGATGTGGGTGTTTTAACTCTGAGGCCTCCTTGCTGGTGTCTGAAGCTGAAAGTCTTCTCAGGAATAAAAGCATTTCTTTTTTCTTTTTTTTTTTTTTATTATCATACTGTTTGGTAATGTCATTTCCATGTCCTCATGCCCTGACTTCCTGTACTAAGAGGCACTTATAACGAGAAAAAAAAAAAATAACTGCTCTTGGGTTTTTGATTTCAAACATCTCCTTCTCTCACACGGAAAGCAGGACTTGTAAAAATTTTATTAATATTTCAAATGCTGGCTGTTTAGCTCTGTGAAAAGGATCAGTGACTATGACAGGCAAACACGCTCTCAGATTCTGCATTAATAGGAGCCATTTAATATCGAGGACTTTGCTCCATGCTGCTTTCAGGAGGGCTTTTTTTTTTTTTCTATAGAATTCCTGATGTAGAATAGCTTTTTCTCCTACCAGGCTTTATTCATTCCAGAGCTGCGTCTTTGTCAAGATTGTGAAAAGCTATTTAAGGAGTAAAAGCAATTCCTGTATTATTTCTCATTGTGAGTTTCCATTTGGCCTCTAGATTTGGCAAGGCTGTTTATTCCTGTTGGGCCTGCAAAGGAAAATACTCTTCCCACCGGGCACTCATAACAATGTTGCTGAGTGGTTGAAAGCAGTGGGATTTTTTTTTTAAACTTTACAGCTCATGGCTATCTTCAGCCAAGTGGAGACCAAAATGTGTTAAGGAAGAGTGTGATGCATTGAGAAGGTGACAATGATTCACTCCAGAATAAAAGTGAACTCTGATGTATACAAAAAGAGATCTTTTCAAGCAGCTATAATTACCTGTAATAACTTGGTGGGTTGACCAAGACTTCATCACCACTCACTGGAAATATAAGTGTCTTCTTTTGATAGGAAACATGCAAAAGAAAAATAGAAGATAACAAGATGAGCTTGAATTCAAGTACAGTGCTGCTGACAACAACTTGACCGTTCATGGGTGGGAGCACTATTTCCTGACATACAGAGAGATGAGAAAATCGATTCACATGACTCAGAATCTGATTTGCCTAATGACCCAGTAGAGTGGTCTAAAGAAAGGCAAAGCCAGAAAGAGGAAGCCAGAGGTGATGTAACCAACCACAGGCAAAGAAAAACCCCATGCACCTGTTGAAGGTGAGCATTGCTTGGAATGGTTTTGTTGGAACTTCAACACTTAGGACACACTAAACACAAAGTAGGTCCATTTTGGTTTGCCCCATTTTACGTTTTTCTAATAGAGTAATACAAAAAAGAGCAGTACTTGATCAAGCAAGCCAGCACAAAAAAAAAATTAATTATTCTATTGCAGCATTCACACCAGGCTGATGCAGTAATGTAGTAAAATGCAGGAGTGTAGGTATTTTGTGGTACTATTTTGAATAGCACCCTAACACATCTCAACAGTACACCTGTTCTTTAATGCACCACAGTACACCACACAATGCATGTTGCTGCTCATAAAAAAATACAGCGAGTTCTATTTTTTTAATGCATTGCAGCCCATTAAATATACGGCTATACACAAAAAAGGACCCCTGAAACAAATGTACCACAGTACGAATTGTATGAAACATACCTTTGTTACAAACTACATCCCCTTATACTACTCACACCAATAACCCACAGATTAAAAGCATTTAAAACATGAAAAAACCCTACCAATTCCTAAAAAATTTATCAGGAAACTCTAATAGAGGTCTGGATGACATTTATCCAGGTCAGTAAACCATATACTGTATGTAATATGCGCATTGTAATTCACCAAATAAACATATACATAGTAGAATATACAGTTGTGCTGAAATGTTTGCATACCCTTGGAAAACTGTATACACTATGTACCATTTTCAAAGAGAACAGTGAGCAGGCAAAACACATTTCTTTTATTTCTTATGGGATTCATTTTCAACTGTAGGTCATAACAGAATGACACAATCATAAAAGAAAACATGGCAACAAGTAAACAAATTAAATGACCCCTGTTGAAAAGTTTGCATACCTTTCTTAACCCCCCTGGCGGTATTCCCGAGTGTAGCTCGGGGTAAAGTTTCAGTACCACAAGCGGTAACCCCAAGCTACACTCTGGAATACCCTGCAGCGCTGCTCCGCGATTCCTCGATCACTTACCTTGTCCTGCGCTCCCGCGATGTCCCTCCTGCAGTGTCCCCTGCAATGTCCTCCGGCATCTGTCATCTGGGTTCCGTCCTCTGCGAGCGTCGGGACGTACGGGGGACGGAACGGCAGGAAATTTCAAAATGACAAAAAGTGACATTCACTAAAATCACTAAAATCACATAGTAAAACATTACTGTATCAAACCATTTCACATACATTTTGTCCCGAGTGCTTTGTCCTGTGCCCTGCCTGCATTTTTACTGTTCTTTCTGCCTGGAAACTGAGAAAATTCCATGGCGTCCAAAAAGTGTCCCTTTAGGTCAAAAGCGGTTTTAGACCAGCTAGAGAACAGCGATCGTAAATTAGAACCACTTGCAGAATTCAGTGATAAATGATTTGTGGGGAAATTTGCCATCAGACACTGAAAAAGATTTTGCGACTTTGCTCAGTGATGTGTGAACTTGGCGCTATATTACAAATTTCAGTGTTTTTGGTTTGATTATATTATTGAATTAAATCTATTATTATTAGATTTATTATTTTTTATGATTATTTATTAAATTATAATTCATGATTTCGTGTTTCAAGTTTTATCCTACCCAGGATGTTTACTAGACTCTTGTTCAGACAGATTTCAGTTATTCCTAAAAATTACAGGCCTACAATAAAAAAAATGACATATTTCCATGCAAAAAAATGTACCGCTTTAAACACAGAAATATTGACATAATCAGACCGCTAGGGAGGTTAATACTGTGTGTTGTCCCCTTTAGCATCAATGAAATTGTGGAGTTTTTTGTAATATTTCTCCAAATTCTTGCAAATAGCTGCCCATTCATCTTGGCAAAAAACCTCCAGGTCATGCAAAGTCTTTAGTCATGTTGCATGAACAGCACATTTGAAATCTTCCCAGAGTGGCTCGATGGTATTAAGATCAAGAGACTGTGATGGCAACTCCAGAACCTTCACCATTTTCTGCTGTAACCACTGGAGGGTCAGCTTGGCCTTGTTCTTAGGGTCATTGTTGTGCCGGAAAGTCCAAGAGTGTCCCATGTGCAGCTTTCGTGCAGAAGAATAGAAATGGTCTACCAGTAATTTCTGAGAACATGTTGTATTCATCTTGCCATCAATTTTCACAAGATTACCCATGCCTTTAGAGCTCACACACCCCCAAAACATCAGTGAGCCACTACCATGCTTCACAATGGAGATGGTATTCTTGTGACCATAAACCTCTATTGTGGTCTCATCTTTCCAGAATACAGTATGCCAGAAGCTGTGTAGTGTGTCATGGTGTTGTAGATTTTATAACTTGGCTTTTTTTTTGAGGCATTGGTGCTTACAGAAGGCTTCTTTATGGCAACTTGACCATGCAGCGCATTCTTGTTCAAGTACTGTTATATTGTGCTGCTTGAAACAACCATACCATCTTTTTTCCAGAGCAGCCTGTATTTCTCTTGAGGTTACCTGTAGGTTTTTCTTTGTATTACAAACAATTCTTCTGTCAGTTGTGGCTGCAATCTTTCTTGTTCTACCTGACCTTGGCTTGGTATCAAGAAATCCCAGAATTTTCCATGTCCTAATAAGTGATTGAACAGTACTGACTGGCATAGTCAAGCCTTTGGATATCTTTATATATCCTTTTCCATCTTTAAAGTTCCATTACCTTATTATGCAGGTCTTTTGACAGTTCTTTTATGCTCCCCATGGCTCAGTATCTAGCCTGCTCAGTGCATCCACGTGAGAGCTAGCAAACTCATTGACTATTTATACACAGAGACTAATTGCAATTTAAAAAGCCACAGATATGGGAAATTAACCTTTAAGTGCCATATTAACCTGTATGTATCACTTTGTGTTTCTGTAACATCTGGTGGTGGTTAGAGGCCTTTCTGTGTGTGATGAACTTTTCTGTTGCTTTTGGGATCCTGCAACTAGCTGTGGAGCTCTGTAGATCCATTCATTGTTTCCCCATTTACAAGTTAGTACAATCTCTCTCCTTCTGTTGTAAGAAGTGGAGGGATCAACCATGTAAACAAAAGCATGTTATTGCTACGATGACCAAGCACCGTGCTCATATGGTACCAAGCCCCTTGGATTGGCTCAGTACAGCATCTCTGTGTATGGAGACATCTAATTGCGACTTAGTACTCTGCAGTTATAAAAGGCACTAGGTAAATACTGGCCACCAATCCACTGGTTTAAAACTTAACCTGGTAGAAAAAGGGTTAAGGAAGCCGATGACTCCTCTTTGTATATCTTCAACAAATACAACAAACGTGGCAGCTACTTTGATCAATGAGTACAGGAAAGCTGAACAAGGATAGGATAATACACTGAACACTGCAAAGCTTTCTCAATACTAGATCTGACTTCGCAGCAAAAAGAGACTATTATAAATAGTTTCAAAATTTAGGTAAAAACTGATTTTTTGTTTTTTGGAAGGTTAACCCCACTACTGATACTTATTTTCCCCATGCATCCCTGCTATTTCGGTCACTTGCGAGAACACTTTGGGGCTTATTCACTAAAACTGGAGACAGCAAAATCTGGTGTAGCTCTGCATAGAAACCAATCAGCTTCCAGGTTTTATAGTCAAAGCTTAACCACTTGCCTACCAGGCACTTATACCCCCTTATTTACCAGGCCAATTTTCAGCTTTCAGCGCTGCCGCACTTTGATTGACAATTGCGCGGTCATGCAACATTGTACCCATATGAAATTTTGATCATTTTTTTCTCATAAATAGAGCTTTCTTTTGGTGGTATTTAATCGCCACTGGGTGCTTTACGTTTTGCGCTATAAATAAAAAAAGTGCAAAAAATTTGAAAAAAAAAAAAAAGTTTCTTTGTTTCTTTTATAAAATTTTTCAAACAGGTATTTTTTCTCCTTCACTGATGTGCGTTGATGAGGCAGCACTGATGGGCACTGATAGGCGGCACTGATAGGCAGCACTAAAGGGCACTGATAGGCAGTACTAATGAGGTGGCACGGATAGGCGGCACTGATAGACAGCACTAATGAGGTGTCACGGATAGGCAGCACTAATATGCAGCACTGATAGGCGGCACTGATAGGTGACACTGATTATGGGTACTGATAGACGGCACTGACTGGCATCACTGCTGGGCACTGACTGGCGGCACTGACTGGCACAACCGCTGGGCACTGACTGGTGGCACTGACTGCCAGCACTGCTGGGCTGCACTGGTGGGTGGCACTGGTGGGCAGCACTGGTGGGTGGGCACAGGTGGGGGGCACTGGTGGGCACAGGTGGGTGGGAAAAGGTGGGTGGCACTGCTGGGCACAGGTAGGTGGCACTTCTGGGCACAGGTAGGTGGCACTGCAGAGTGGCACAGGTGGGTGCACTGCTGGGCACAGGTGGGTGCACTGCTGGGCACGGGTGGGTGATCTGCTGGGCACGGGTGGGCGGAGCTAGTGGGCGCACTGCTGGGCACAGGTGGGCGGAACTTGCGGGTGGCACTGCTGGGCACCGATCATCAGGGCACTGATCATCAGTGCCCTGATGATCGGTGCCGATCCCCGCTCTGACAACTGCCGGTTCTCGGCAGTACTTTCCTCACGATCTGACAGCGTGAGGAGAGTGCAGCCGAGAACCGGCACTTGCATTTTCCTCTGATCAGCGTGTCATTGGACACCGCTGATCACGTGGTAAAAGGCCGCTGTGATTGGCCTTTTACCACAGCACGTGATCAGCTGTGTCCGTAGGACACAGCGATCACGGAGATCGCCGGGTGTTGCGCGCGCCCCCTGGGGCGCGCAGGAGAGCGCGTTCTGGAAGGACGTCATATGACATCCACTCAGAACTGGCCGGCCGCAGTGCAGCCATCATTCGGCTATCTGCGGTCGGCAGCTAGTTAATTGAACAAACTTAAGTTAGAAGCTGATTGGCTACCGTGCACAGCTGCACCAGTTTTAGTAAATCTCCCCCAATGTGAACTCTCCAACTCAGTGAATGCTTGCACACAGTTAATGACCTTCTCCACTCCCTACATGTTAGTACCTGCTGGTAAATAGGAAAAAGGAAAATATTGTGTGCTCCCCCATACCTGGAAATACAAGGTTTTTCCAGGCCTCTGGCAGAGGAATAGGAGGGTGGTGAAGCACAGGAAGGGTAAGTATAAGTGCATGCAGTAGGGTGCCCTATCAAGAGAACCTGTCATATTACCTGGAAGGATTATTTTTAAGGGATAAGGGATAAGTTCACTTTCATATGAAAAATTTGTATTCTTCATCATTCTAGGCTTCTGCAGAGAAAACCCAGGAAAAAAGAAAGCAGTCTTTTCACTGTCAACACACTAATGCACGGGGATGAAGACAGAGGTTGATTCACTAAAGATTTACTAAAAAGAAGAGAATATTCACAATTCACATAGAGTCTTAGAGCACCAGGGCTGATGTATACTTTCAGCAAAATACGGAGGATGTAAAAAGAGATTCACAGAAAGTGGTTACATCATGGACAAAATGCGATACTCAAAGTAATTCCAAAAATTATGCTTTATTACACAGTACAAATGTGGACAAATGAGGTAAATACTTCAGTTCACCATCACCTCAGTATGAGATAATTCAAAGACAGACCTTAAAAACATATAAAATTGTACATCAAGTCTAAGTAGTAAAGTGCTGCAGACATAGTGACAATTGTCTAATATATTTGCAGCACCAACACAAAGGTTACACCGCCAAGCAGGAGGTATATCAAAAATTGTACCAATATAGGTATAGCATGCAGTGCAGTTGGCTAATAACAAGTACCAAGTAATGGATAGGATTGCCCATGGACCTAGATAGGTAATGTGGGCTAAAAATACATAGAGATATATGGAGAGGGATGCGGTAGCCTCTATGGTGGCCAGATGAGCCAATAATGACAGTGAATAATGGCAAATGCTGGTGGTGAAGTATCAAGCAGCAATATAAATGTCCATAATAATGTATAGAATGAACTGAATATACGTTATACAGGTCACCATATGGCTTCCTCAATGTGGTAGATCTGGCAGGACCCTGCCTTAAGGGGTTTCTCACCGCGACATGCGGACTGTGGACCACCTTAATGTTGATGTTGTAATATAAAGTGCTGGGCCTTCCGTGCCTTGTAATAAGTGTAGGGTGCCATGCACCTATATGATGAAGCATGATGTCCCCATCCTGAAACAAATACGTGACCTATGGAGAGTCAATATATGAG